AGCCAAAGGATCGGGTTGGGGTCCCCTAAATCAAATCCCTACTTCGGCTTGGGCAACGGGGTAGTATCACACCCTCTCACAAAACCATGAACTGTACTACAACGTGCTCATCAGCTACCGTTTCTGCTTCTCACATTCACGCGACTTCACCACACGCCCATTGTTGTTTGCTAACAATCCTTACTTTCCGTTACCCGATTCATGTGTTCGACAATCTGGCTGCGATTTCGGTTGTGATGCGGACCACGGAGTTCAACCTATGGCTCTCCTTTGTCCCCAATCTTTGTTCCGTCTGGCGTGCTTCAGCATTCGGACACTCATGCAGACAGGAAGGCAAGCTGGTCTGGCGCGCACCATAGAGTCCCTCGATATTGATGTCTGTTGCCTTTCAGAAGCCCAACTGCAAAATCTTAGCACTGTGCTTACATTGACATCCCCCACTAACCACGAAGCCAGATACCACCTGCGTCTTTCTGGAGATCCAGAAGCAGCCTCAGCAGGTTCGGCTGGCGTAGGTATAGCACTAAGTAGCAATGCCGAGGCGGCACTACTGGACTGGTTCCCGATTAATAGCAGACTACGTGCAGCTCGGATTCGGGGTTCATGTAGAATCAACAAGCACCGCGAAGAGAGACGCAACTTATTTGTGATATCCGTGTACGCTCCAACTGACCGCAGTGGCGGCTCTGTCAAAGAAGAACTCTACCTGGATCTACATCAACCCTTGAATAATGCTAAAAAGTCGGATGTTGTTGACCTTGCTGGGGATTTTAATGCACAGGTTGGCTGCCTTTTACTATACGAACGCCCCCTTGGTGGTCACCATGCGCCCGTTGAGAACCGCTCTGATAACGGAGGGAGACTTCTCACATTGTGCGAAGACAACCATCTGTTTCTCTCGAGCGCTAACTTCAGGCGTACGAAGAAGCGTCTCGTAACGTGGCGTCCCTCTTCGCCAACACAACCATGGTCTTAAATTGATCACATTGCAATTAACTTCAGATGGCGTGGCAGGGTACTGGACTGTAAGTCCTTATGGTCCACCTTCGTTGACACATATCATGCAATCGTCTGCGCGAAAATCTGTATGTGGTTTGGGGGGTCCCGAAACACGACGCACCGCAAGTTTGATGTAAGCAGACTACCTGATTTCTCTGTCCAGGCGAGCCATCAGTCTTTACTGGCATATGCACTCAGTTGCAACTCACCGCAAGACGTGGAGCAACACTGGACTTGTATACAGAAAGCGAGGACCATTTCCGGACAGCCAAGCTGCGGCCTAGCTCGACGCCGCTTAAATGCCTGGATCGCTGCTGGTTCTCTGAAGCTGTTTGAACGCCGCAAAGATATCCCCGCGGAATCAGATTGCAGCGAGTGGCGCCGTTCTGCCAACCGGCTGCTCAAACGGTCTACGCAAGAATCGCGAGACATGATGGCCTGAGCGTGCTTTAGAGGTGGAGACTGCTGCCCACTCTAGCAACACTCGCAAGTCTTTCCAACCCATTCGGTCCACTGGCCTCAAGAAGCCTGGTGTCAGTGAGGTGATTTGCGAGGTGAATGAGTCTCCGATCATCAACCAACAGAGGCGTATGAACCACTGGGACGAGCACTTTCATTCACAATTCAACTGGCGTCCATCGTCCATCAATACATGCAGTACACCTTGTTGTCCACCCTGACCCATCCCACTGAATCCACATAGCGAAGCGGAGGTTTGCCTCGAGATTCGACGCATAATGCGGTTCAAGACTGCCGGCTCAGACGGACTTCTTTCGGAGCTGTTTAAGTACGGTGGCGTGAAGATCATTAACCAGCTAACCTTGCTGTTCGCAAAAGTCTGGCATGAAGAAAAAGTGCCTTCTTCTTGGAGCGAACCAGTTATTGCCCCGATTTCCAAGAAAGGTTCTCGCACTTCAAGTGTAAATCATCGCGGGATTAGTCTTATTTCGGTTGCCTCCAAGCTATTTGCATCCATTCTGCTCCGTAGACCATCCCCAGTACGTGAAGCATCCTGCCGTGAAGAGCAAGCTGGTTTCCGTCCCGGCCGCGGATCAAATCTTCAAGCTCCTCCAGCTCCTCGAATATCGCCACATTTATCACGGGCCACTATGGTTGCACATTTAGGCATACATGCCGTTTTTGACTCCGTTGATTGACCTGCTTTATGGCGTTGCTTGCTAAAGAATCGGGTGCCAGAGAAATATACCGCCATCTTACGAGCACTTTCTCTACATACATCCGGCAGAGTGAGGGTCTATGGCAAGCTCTCCTCGCAATTCGCTGTCAAAAGCGATGTGCGACAGGGCCGCCCTGTCCCCATTCCTCTTCAACTTCGCAATCGAAGACGTTCTGTCGAGTGCTCCAGAAGGTTTACAGCATTTTGGCCTAGAGTTTCTACCTGGTGAGCGCGCGACCGACTTAGACTATGCTGATGATATCGCCTTACTTGGTGACGATCCTCAGAGTATGCAACTCATGCTGGATCGTTTGGCGGTTGAAGCATCTAAGTAAGGCATGAGCTTCGCCCCATCGAAATGTAAAGTACTGCTCCAAAATTGGCATACACCTGCTTCCGTGCTCACTCTCGAAAGTGCACAACTTAAACAGACAGATAGTTTCGTCTACCTTGGCAGCTGTAGTTCTGCTGACGGTACTATCAGCAAAATTTCTTTTCGCATCGCTAAAACCCCATCAGCATTTGCCAATCTGAGGCACTTGTGGCGTCGTCGCGACGTCTCATTCTCGCTAAAGGGCCGCGTTTACAGCGCATCTATTCGCTCAGTGTTGTGGTATGGGAGCGAGTCTTGGCCGATTCACGTGGAAGACATGCGTCGTCTTTCTACCTTCGATAACGGTCGCTTAAGGAGGATCGCTCGTGTTTGGTAGCAACATCGAGTTAAAAGTAATAACGTTCGGACGTCGCATCTTGGGGAATGCGAGTATTCTATTCCACAAACTGGATTTGCTGCGCCAGTTGAGATGGCTCGGTCGCGTCCTACGCATAGCACCTGAGCGTCTACCGCGTCGCGTTCTATTCGCTCGTCAAGGACCTAGCTGGAGGCAACCACGTGGGGGTCAGCCTTTCATTTAGCGACAGCACATGAAATCACTGACGTCATGTTTAGCCGCTGTTGGACCTGTACGTCTTCCAGGATGGGGACACAAAGATGAGGAGTGCCAATGGCTTAACACTCTTGAAGACATGGCCCGTAACCGGAATCAGTAGAAGAATTGTGTACAGAATTGTATTGGTTCACATGTTTAGTACTTCAAGCACTGAAAATGACAAAAAAGAGGAAAATCGGCGTGTGGAAGAGAAACTAAAAATGTTTGGTTCTACTTTTGTCAAAATGTTCCTTTTTTCCCGCGGCATAGTAGTTAAAGTGTGTTGCTCACCTTCAACTACTATGCCACGATGTTTACGACGCGATGACTTCCCCTTATCTGCTAACCTCCACTGCTTGGTTAGTCGTATGTCTAGTTGCTAGGTTGTTGCGATTACATACATACTTTGGTGATCCTCTCCAAGGGTGTATCAGAAGCTTTCTCCTACACCGTCGCTTGGACGTAAGTGTGAGAATGCCTATCAGATCCAACCCAAGTAGAATGCAAAAGAACCACAGGAATCAATACTGGGACCACAGCTGTTTTTGATTTACATCAGCGATATCACACATAAGCTCGAACTGTTGACTCTATGCTGATGGCATAAAGATGTGGAGAGCGATCAATAAATAAGATGATACTAAACTAATTCGAGTCAATTTTATTATGGTCTACGCACGGACAATCCATAACCTACTCCTGTTTAATGTGGACCATTGCACAGTGCTGCACTATCGACACCAGCTGGCATGCGCCTACAAACTTGGATACCAGCAGCATCAAACGTCTTCTGGCGAAATGGATCTGAGCGTTTTGGTCCAGACCAACGTTAGCTGTGTGAATCACGCTGAGGCGTCAAAAACAGGTACGCAACACGTAGGTCACTCGATACGGCATTCGGCCGATCTGACCTGTTGATTTTCCAACAGCTTTTCGGCCCATACATAAGCAATACAAGTCTAGCAGCTACGGTTAAGGAAAGATCTGAGCACTCTGGAGACACCCAAACGACAGCCAACCAAGAAAGTTAGAAAGCTTGTGCAACTTGCCGTATGAACAAAGATGGCTAGGTTCTCAGCGGACGATCCCGGTGAATGTATGTGGATGTTACTTTGACTCATCAGAGTATGAGAGATTTAAACCACACGTGCTGCCATTTGCTAGTGCTCGGTCATAACAGAAATCTGAAAGGTCACCATCTTAAGCTCGCAGAGCAGTTCAGTCGTTTGAAATACTGTCCGAATTTCTTTTCCGTACGCGCTTATCAAGCGTGGAATTCCCTATCGGAATCTGTCAGCTGTGCTCCCACGCTGGTAGAGTTAACCGTGCATTCATTTCGCTGTACCATCTCACCAGACTCGTGGCTAAACACGAGTGTCTGTGAGAGATTTCATTGCCGGTCAGCTCCCAAAATTTGTTCCACCTTTTTCCCCATCAGTATGTGTTCAAAATGAAGCGGCACGATTTTTGCCATCTCATTTGTCGTCATTCCTTATAGACTTACAGAGCATTTAGAGTTTATAATACGCATATCGCGGTGAGTCCACCGATGTGGACATAATTTTGCTGACATTTTTTCTCTTTTGAATTTTCACCATGACCATCTTACACTCAAGGTTTTCTACCCGCATAGAACACTGCCACGACACTATCATCAGTCGTGAGTGGGCTGTGTGTAGCGCGAGGCCGCACACATATACGTGGATTCGAATTGTTGACAAGACAAGTATTAATCGTTTCGGTCACCTGCCGACCGGTATCGGAAAAAGGGGCTATACAAAGGCGATGTAGAAGAAATTTAACGACAATGAAAGTGCACAGGAAAACGCGTTCGGTAACATAGAGAAGAAAGGTCTGAAGTGGGTGTTTTTAGAGTCTGATGGAAAAGAACTCACCTCAATCATCTTAAGGAGTGTTTGCGCAAACGCCCGAAGATTTTCCGCGTCTACTTCGTTGAGGTCACACCCGATTGAATTTTGAGCAGCTTCTCTAATCCGCTTTTGTATGTCCGTATCGGAAAAGCATGCGGTCAAATCTGATTGTCTAGAAGATGCCAATACGGAACGCACAGGACAGTGAGCAATCAGACGGATGAGTTCTGTGTCACACAGGTAGGGACAATCCTTCAAACCCGGACGACAGATTTCCGGAAAATGAGAAGCGTATGACGTCCTCAGGCGTGCAGTACAGCGAGTCAGGTTGCCATCGAGCTCGTCAATCAAGGTGAGTGCCTTTATAACTGCGGAATCGGCCAAATATTGGTTTAAATTTAACTGCAATCTAGCACATGCCAGGCCAACGATCAGACGTGCTCGCGATTCGGCGACGCGGCCAGGAGCGATTTCTTCTGCACTGTTAGTGGCGAGTACTTTTGCGCCTCCAAGTGCCAAGGAGGAAGCACTACCTGGTTGTGTTATTAAGGACCTGGTGAGACGGGAAAAGTTCTTTCGAATCACACGGAGAATTTCTCTGATTACAGAGTGCCAGACGCATTCGAATCCAAAGTCGAAGGCACTGGTGGAAAGAGAATAGGCGGGAATCGAGTTACAGTGGGTATTCAAGAGCAACAAACAGCCAACTTAAATCCACTTGAAATTGTGTGAGAAAGCAATAACGAGGACTCCAAACAAAACAATTCATTGAAAACTAACGGGATTGGAAAAAGTTGCGCGCAAGGTAAGAATTAAATTGGAACAGGAGCGGCTTTGTGTGGCATCAAATAATCTGTCGCATCGTTATTAAGTGTGGGGACATACTGTTAGAAGATGAAAATAGCCAGTGGCTACATCATTCGGCGATGGGTGGGTTCAAACTGCCGGGAGCAGTTCGCCTCAATCCAGCTGGGTAACTATAATTTGAGCGCCGAAATGCAGTGAATACATTTGCCACGATCAGCGTAGTTAGGAATAACAATGAAGTAAGACTCAAACATGGTATAAAGGAATCAAGGATGACGTGCATAAAACTATTCGGGATGAGGAATCTACGACTAGACGTAAGGAACGGAATGCAAGAGCGCCACCGACTGCGTCATGCCTGAGTTAACCTCCAACTTCTGACATGGACCATCCAGAGTCCCCCATCCAATAAAAGTAGTGCACACCAGCCCGACCAAGTCTCTCGATCAATTTCTTCATGCATCTATGCTACATCATCGACTGGACACCTCGTGATTGCGCCTGACTTGATACAGCGAAGGAGTATAATGCGCGTGGAAAAAGGTGGTCAACGGGCATACAGAGGACATGACCTAACCAGTTTCAGCAGTTAGGCTTTAATGGGGTACCAGAGGGTTTATGGCCAGAAACTAACTGGCGGAACTCGGCACTGTTCATACGGTGTTCCCAACAGGTCTGAGCAAAAGTTCGAAAGCACAAATGATCAAGCAGGGTCAATTGTTTAATTTCTTCACCGCGGACTGGCCATGTCTCTGACTCATCCCGCTGTCTCCAAGGGCCTTTGAGCCTTTGAAAAACCACACGAGCCTTGCTGGTTGACGAATTAACTTCAGGGATGTGACTACCGTAGGTTATTGGGCTGTTTGTTGAGAACTAAGCCAGTAGCGCATCGGTGCTATTTTTGACGGTAGTTGGCAGGTTACGCGAACGAAACGGACCTGCGGCCCGTGGATTGGAGAGTCAATTAGCGCCGTCATCATAAGGTGACCACACTTAAAAAAGGCGGAGTACACAATGAGGAATTGGTTCGCAGTGTTGTGAATCAAACATCACTTTAGTCAGCGACGAAGGCGAGCGAGCAGCCCGCGCGCAACACTGGCCCTGAGGAGACGGCGAATGGTGGTGATCAGTATCATGAACATCAGTACACGTAATAAACACACTTCGGCTATTGTGTTGCAAAACAAAAAGATCGGGTGTATGGAAGTGTGACACTAAACAGTAAAAAATACAGACACCAAAAAAGAACAAGTAACAGAATGCCAATTTTCACGTTATCCATGGAGTGCGAAATCGTCGTTGGGTGGAGAAGCTAAGCGGAAAGGAGAGGGACAAAGAAACAACAAAAACCCACTGAGATCGGCTCTTCGCCATGTCAACTAACCGCGCGTGTACGGTGAATAGTGCGATGCCGGCTGGTCGACAAAGCGAGTGGAACAAACGAATACAGCAGGTAGAAAGCCAAACAACGCCTCCGGCGCAAGCTGACCACATTTGCAAGAACCCGATGAACAGCCTAGAATTGGTTTGTAGTACTGGGAACAAAGCACAACCTTTTTCCAGTCAATGTATAAATGGCCCCGACAGCTGCGAACGAACGATCAGCGCGAGTCAACGAGCTCAAGTAGTTGGCTAGCAAGAATCAGCCATCAAGTGTATTACAGCAAATGTGTGACAAAATTATATACGGCATACAATGATCCCTTGTTTCTTGGCAACAGATATTTGGGTCCCTGGTCACCTTTCGTTTTGATTCTCAGAGGGCATTCCCGACATTTCCATGAAAAAGTACTTCGCCAGCTACATAAAAACCATATGCCGAACCGTACAGACCTGCCCGCCAACCCATCCAGTAGTACCTGCATAGTCGCTTTTGCGTCCGCATAAGCAAAGTTTGTCAACGATCGCCTGATAGAATTTAAACTAAAAAGGGCCTGAAAGAATGCATATTTTCGATCACAAAGTGGTAGAGGAAATGAAATGTAGGACAACTGGAAAACACAGGAGAGAGATTACCGTAGATCCTTAACGGATCTAGGAACCAGCTACAGACATGAGTTTCCCCTGCACAATTGCCAGCTATAGGCACTGTCAAAGGCTAGAAAGATCGGCTGAGTAGCGCCCTTATATACATGGACCTGCTCTAACAAATGACGAATATATATATATATATATATATATATATATATATATATATATATATATATATATATATATATCACGCGATCTAATCACGAAGGCAGTTGCCCAAGTGCGGGAGAAAGACCTCATACATGCAAAGAGGAAGCGGCAAGCACCGATGGGTTGTACTCCATCGACATCGAGTGCATGGTGCTGTAGCACATGCGGTCGCGATTGGCTGAGTAAGACAGGCCTAGTGAGCCATCAGCGAGGCCACCAGGGACCACTACAGAAGCGACGACGGGTCGTGCAGAGAACGTAGGCAGAACAGGCGCAGCGTTTGTAGGCACACTGCATTCAATTTACTAACCGCGTGCTTGCATGCTAAGTCTATTTATTTCAGGTGGCTGGTTGAAAACTTTGTCCTAATGCTTTCCTTTTTCATATGAATGTCTACCTATACTCTAAACTTGCACAAGTCGCTTAAGCCAATTGTAGTTAATTGCGATAACATTTTCGTGTTTGTGGCATTACCGTAAAATGTACTTTCTGACTTCGTGAACTCATCTAGGATTCGTTTGTGAACAAATTATTTCAAATGCTCATTAATTTAAGATTTATGTCACCGTTTCCTTATGCATTAATCGAGTTATTTTCTTGTCTCTCTCTCTTTCTCTCAAATGATTGGCTGTTGTTTGATATCCCCGGTGTGTGCATGCTGACAACGTGCCTACCTGTCTATTACCCGCTACCTCGTCCATACTGGCTCCAGGAGACAGTTGGTCGTTGCTGGAGGGGACGGGGTGCACGGTCCTTGCGGTCGTGTTAGGCCCGATGAGTGGTTCCATGCACTCAGAGTGCAGCGGACTACGGTCCAGCCACCGCCTTGTGTGCGCTTGATTCCCCAAATACAGCGTGCTTGTGTTTGCCTGTGAAGGAGTGTGGGCCGGCTCAATTGATGAAACGTGGCTCCCATCCACATGCTTCCCGGTCTTATTCCTTCGGGTTTACACTGGATATGGGGTGTGTGGATGGAGCTGTGGGTGGTGCAGCGCAAGCCACTCATGGTCCTTCTATAGGCGCAGGCGTTCTGTCGCTGGCCACAGTGACAGGCAAATCCGAAACCGGATGCCGCCAACGATATATATATATATATATATATATATATATATATATATATATATATATATATATATATATATATATATATGCAAGAATGCAACATCTTGATGCGTCTTCACCGCAGTTGGGCTAAACCAACTTACACTTAAACTAGGTCTCTTTAAGCTGCATAAATTTCATTCCAGTTTATTTGGTTAGTTTTGCCTATCTGAATAGTCTTCTATTAGCTGGCCACGTCGCTTACGCTAACTGCGCTTATCTTCGGTAATTTTGTTGCGTTTGTAGCATTTTTGAGTAACTTGTGGACATTTTTTCCTTATCACGGAACAGCCAAACATACATACATACATGGTTGGCGGCATCCGGTTTCGGATTTGCCTGTCACTGTGGTCACCCACCGGACGCCTGCGCCTACAGAGGGACCATGGATGGCTTGCGCTGCACCACCCACACACCCCATATCCAGTGTAAACCCGAAGGAATAAGACCGGGAGGCATGCGGATGGGAGCCACGTTTCATCAACGGAGCCGGCCCACACTCCTTCAACAAGCAGATCGGAAGCATTCCGGCCTAATTGGGAAACCATACGCACCAGACATACACGAGGTGGTGGCTGGACCGTAGCCCGTCCCACACAGATTGCATGGAACCACTCTTTGAGCCTAGCACCATCACGAGGACGGTGCACTCCGCCCCCTCCAGCGACGACCAACTGTCTCCTGGAGCCAGTATGAACGATGTAGTGGGTAATAGACAGGTAGGCACCTTGTCAACATTCACATCAGGCGCATCCACACAGGTGTGCTCAAGCAACATCTACTTCTGAAATGCAAGATTACTCATCACGCAGGCAAACGTACCACATACGCCGCCTTATTGGCCTGGATAAGTAAATTGAATGGGGACATACTCATGGTGCTTCTATTCCACATACTATAGTGCCTTCTCCGGCACCTAAGAAACCGCCCTTTTGAGTAGTTCACAGAATTCGCATCGATCAAATTTGCCTTGGATTCGCAATACCTGAAATCAACATGAGTTTGTCATAAACTCACCTTTCTCATGTTCTGGTAATATTATTTTCGGTTTGCTCGAATGTCGTTCTACTGCACTAAGTTAACCGTACAAAAGCGGTATGAAGATCCTCGTGGAATTCATTCGGTATACATATATACATAGATTGGCGTCATCTGTGTCCAATGGCAGTTCGAATGCAACATATGTACATGCGTTTATCCAAACTTAAGTGTGAGCTGTCACAAACTGCATAAAGGCACATTAGACATCATCAATGGTATGACAAACGTGTATGGGTTTCGTTTGGAGGTCAGGCTAACAACCACTTTCGCAGGTATGAGAATAACTACCCAATACGAACTGTTGATGTTTTCTTCTACCTTTAGACGTGACTGCCTTAAATTTTGGGCATCCATATTTGAAGGAATCCGATGTGGCAATAGTAAAGCAACCGCTAGGTAGAATGAGGACTAGACTACTGGTACAGTGAAATAGTGTGCACTTTGGTGTTGCCCTCTACATGTACAGTCTGGTTTGAGTAGCTGATGTGGGAGATCACACAGCATGTCGAATGC